TCACATACAAAACTTAAATATGTGTCGGGTGTGCCTACATGCAAAAACGATTGCGCCACACAGGTTACGCATCACCGCTCAGAGTGTGAGCCAGAATTCTAGAGCCATCGATCACTGTTAACACTTAATGACAGAATGACACGAGGAGCAGTAAAAGCTTTTAAAGTATCGCCAATGGCCAATTTTGGGTGTGGCAGCCATTTGCGATTTCACGGGTGCGCACAATTTTAAAGCTTAAAAGTAGAACTATGGGGTCAGTGTTTTTCCCCATAGTTCTCTTTAGGGTAACGGGAGGACACAAACTAGCGTCCTCCCGTCACCCTAGGCTCAGTATACCGCGAGCTACAGCTCGCGGTATACTGAGACGCCGCACCTGGAGCGGATCCCGACTTAGATGATGGGATCCGCCCAGCTGCGTGAGTGACAGCTGGCTCTGCCTATCTAGAGGCAGAGCCAGCTGTACCCGCCCCCTCCCCCGTCCGTTCCGCCAGTCAGCGCTGGCAGATCGGAGCGGGGAGAGGGGAATCCAGCCCCTCCCCCTGTCACGGCAGAGAGCCGTGACAGGATCGAGAGGTGAGGGAACCCGGTATGTGTTCGCTCACCTCCCGATCTACTGAGCCGACCTGTGACAGTCTCATTGTCACAGGTCGGCTTAGAACTATGAGGTGAGTGGAAATCACTCATGTCATAGTTCTCATTTAACATGTTTGGTGTCTATTTGCCCGACGTGACCCCATTTTTTATATTTTACCAAAAGATTGAGTAATAATAAATATGTTGCATTACATAACGGAGGGAGAACAGTTTTCTCAATACAACATTAGTAAAGTAAACATGAGATTGTAGTCTATCACGGGAGTGAGCTTGAAGCGGTGACTACTTTACTAAACACACAAGGACCATGTGGGACAAAAGTAGCCCCCCTCCAGAAGGAAGGACAGTGTCAGCACCAATTCAGAGACGATTCGAGGATTTACAGCCAAGTGATACACTAATAAGACACAGTTATGTTAATAGTTAAAAGTCCTTGAATGTATTTTTAAGATTTAGCTCCGGAGTTCAGTGTCACTTTAGATGAAAGTCTGTGTCCGGAGATCCACTGTAAATAGGTTGTGACATTGTTGCGTTTGTCACCATCTCCTGATGAAGGGGACCCTGAACCGTCGCTGCCCTTTGGTCCATTTAATTTTAAGAAATGTTACCACAATACAGAAGTATTACCATTGGTTTCCACAATAAAGAAATGTTACCATTGGTTACCAGAATAAAGAAATGGTACCATTGGGTTACCACAATAAAGAAATGGTACCATTGGGTTACCACAATAAAGAAATGGTACCATTGGGTTACCACAATAAAGAAATGGTACCATTGGTTACCACAAAGTACCATTGGGTTAACATAATAAAGAAATGGTACCAGTGGTTGCCACAATAAAGAAATGGTACCAGTGGTTACCACAATAAAGAAATGGTACCATTGGTTACCACAATAAAGAAATGTTACCATTGGTTACCACAATAAAGAAATGGTACCAGTGGTTACCAGAATAAAGAAATGGTACCATTGGGTTACCACAATAAAGAAATGGTACCAGTGGTTACCACAATAAAGAAATGGTACCAGTGGTTACCACAATAAAGAAATGGTACCATTGGTTACCCCAATAAAGAAATGGTACCATTGGTTACCCCAATAAAGAAATGTTACCAGTGGTTACCACAATAAAGAAATGTTACCATCGGTAACAACAATAAAACTTGTTCCTCATCTCATGACGCCGCCGTCCATCTTATTCCTTCGTCTCCCGGTATTTGCTCTGAGCACCGTTGCGGCATGCAGCGGTGATAGTCTATGATCACTTCGCGAAACGTGTGAACGACTGCCAGCACGCGCTGCATCCTGCTACCCTCTCGTGGTCTGCACACACACAGGAGCCGGCTCGGCAGATGTTGCAGCTTCACATTAAATCGCTCTGACTCTACAGCTGTGTGTAAAACACAACGTCTCCCCACCATCAAAAAGCTCTACGCCGTTCACAGATTGCGAGCTTCCAGGGTCACCGGCACATTGTTTTTATGCCGTCCTTTCTGCCAGTGGAGAAGGCAAAGTATCGGTGCAGGATACGGTCAATGCATCTCCACAGATCTGACACGAGGGAACGTACAAAGAATTGGGTCATAGGAAGGAAGAGGAACGACGGCTGACGGGGGCACGCCATACATCAGGGAGTGCGAAGTCTGCATTGGGAACGCTGTGACCTTCATAAGGACCGTTTACGTTCTTCATCAAGTCTTTACCATGGATGTGCCACCACTGACTGATCAATGAAGGGTTAAAAAAGCTTCCTATACACAAGCAGATCGAGGGTCTTGAGGTCGTCTCTTCTTCTGCAGATTTGTATCAGATCTGTCCAATCCGGTGACGTCCCAAATCCTCGCTCCTTCAGATCTACCAATACGCATGTAGTGAAGGGCCTGCTGGTTGCATACGGACGGATTGGATAGTCCAGGCAGGTCCGTACATTACGTAGTTTCGGTAGATCTTATATGGCGACGCTTAGGTTCACCACGCAAGTTACAATCGGGCTCAGGACCGGCATCACTGGTGTCAGTGGGAAGACCGGCGAACCGATCTTCTCCTTGCTGAAGGGGACCAGGAGGGACACCAATTCCATCACTTCCAGTCCCTCCACTGTCATTCCCCCGGTTGCAGAAGCCAGGCAATAAGCTACTGGAGCGCGATCTAGAAAGGTGACATTAGGAGTCTAGTTGACCCCTAATGTCACCTTAAAGAGAACCTGTCACCTCCAATGTGCACTCACATAGGGGACTTATGAGCCTTCCCTCCTTGTGATAGCAATGAGGTAAAAAAAAATAAAGTAAAAAAACAACGATTGTGCTACAGAATGCTCCAGAGTGACAGCAATTATTCTCGGGCCTATATCCATAGATATCTCCAAACTGATGACCTGTAGGGGATTTAAAGTGTAGCCTATGAAATATTTGGGGTACTGTATTTTGTCGCTGTTTCACTGACGCACGCAATTTTTTAACTTGGCCCATGTTGGGTAACGATTTACTCCACACCACCTCATCCTTTATATTTCATTACAATATTGGGCACTAAAATGAACTTACGTGCATTGTTTTACCAAAATTTCAGGTTTGATAAAGAGTTGCGCTAATATTACACAATATAACAAATTTGCAACTTTCGCCATTTTATTTTACAGGGTCTTGGCTTTCAGGAAATATAGAATGTTTTGGGGATTTTATGTAATTTTCAGGCCTAAAATGTGGATTAGAGCAGGTGTGCAAAAATAAACGCCCCAGCAGCGAAAGGGTAAAGGAGCGCACCGACAGTCACACATATTTAAAGTGAATCAACCTGCGTCCCCTGAACCGTACCGGTCGCTCAGGAAAGTTGGCCATTGCACGTAATTCGACGTTTATCAGAAAGTCTGAAGCCGGCCCTCTTTGCGGATAATCTGGACGTGTATGGGGCAGACATAGCAAATAGGAAATGAAGATTAACAGTCTCTAGCACAGCAGATCGAGGTCAAATGGATCTGCAGCAACCATTGTGCAACCCAGATCTCCCCCATGTGGGGGGGTTGCAAATCTCGGACAGACAGATCTCCCCAAGAGTAGATTGAAGGGGGACAAATCTCCAAA